TAGATAGGGAAAAAAATATACGCGAAACCGGCGGTTTAAAACCGGACCAAACCGTTAGGTTTAGGTTTGAGTTTTTTTCAAACCGGTCAAAACGGTTTGGTTTAGGTTTGAGTTTTTCTCAAACCGGTCAAAATGGTTTAGTTTGAAAATTTGTCAAAAATCGCAAAATCGGACCACTTACACCCCTAAGATGGATTTGGGATCATTTGTGCCAATTTACCTAATTTTTAGATCACTATTGAATTTATTTCGTTATTTTCCAAATGGGAATTAATTTGTTTTTTTTAAGTAAACATTGTGGATACTTCAAATTGTTCTTGCACTTTATTGCACTCTTACCTAACAACATAGTCATCCAAATAAAATTGATGAATTATACCATGTTGTATTTGTCAACTTAAAAATGCAATGATTAATATTAGATTCTTTCAAAAAAGAAAAAAAGTCAACTTTATTGTATCCTAAAGCCTGAAAACTTAAATGGTAAGCGAACTCAATACCAAGTGACATATGCACTAAAAAAGTAAAATTATCATTAACCAAAATACAATTAAATTTGATTATTGTTGAATTGGCTTGTTCAAGTGGGTTGACGGCAACATAATCGCAAATTATAGAATTTTAACTGAACTTCGTGAATGAGCAAATTAGACATCTTTCGTAAATACTAAACAGAGATTTACCTCTTTTGTCTTGATTAGTATTTTTCGAAAATTTTTACTACACCTATATTTGACTTTATTTATAAACATTCGATCACTTTTTAAAATAAATTTCAAAAAATTTACAAGTATTATATGCTTATTAATTACACTTTTTGTCTAATTTATAATTTAAATAGTTTGTAAATATTTTTCAAACATAAAAGAAGATTAATGGTCGGTGATTTTGAGGATTTCATTCAACACGTATATCCTATTTAGCACGTTTGATTCTCATTATTGTAAAATGAGAATGAAAAATATAATCGTTATTGGCCGCACACAAGATATAGAAATTCAAAATTGATAACTTGATGTGATGGATAACGGTCATATTTTTCATTTTTATGGATGAAAAATGAGAAACAAACGAATTAGTAAATTTTTTTCCTTTATTTTAAAATAATATAGCTCCAATAAATTAACGCTTTCTGCAATATTTCCCAATAAAATTTATGGGATTTGCAACCAAAATTCTTTCTCCAACAAATCCTCTTCAATTATAATTTTCTAAAATTTTGAATTTTCTTGAATTCTGAAGGCCAAATACTCATGGCTTCTCGCAGCAGCAGGCAACCATATTCCCCTTCTGCTCCACCCGTACCGGATCCAGTCGAGCCCCGGGTCGGTCACCCTTACCACCCCCCTCCAAATCACGTCCCCTATGCCCCCATAACCCAACCCCACCCTCAAATCACCACCGCCAGCACGTTAGGGTCGGTTCCAACCCAGCCACCACCGCATGGATACGACTACAACCCTTACAAGCAGCATAGCAATTATAGTTGGTTTCCGCCGGGTACCCACCCGGATATTATTCGGAGCTTCCAGACGGTGGACCGGAACCAAAACGGGTACATTGAAGAAAAGGAGCTCCAAGAAGCACTAGCTTGGAATTACCAAAGGTTCAGCCTTGGAACCTTGCGGTTGCTCATCTTTCTTTTCAGAACCCCAAATGATTCTTCTTTTAGAATTGGTCGGTTTCTCTGTACTACCCTTTTGGGTTTATTTTTCCTGGATTTGTTGGTATATTATATTTTTTCTTTATGAGAAGGTAGAAAATTACTACTTTTCTTTTCTTTTCTTTTTTTCCCTTGGAGTTTTTTTGTGTTGGTTGAGAAAAAAAATGAAATCTTCATTGCAAAGTTGCTTTTACCCTTTTGCTTTATTGGGAAAAAGTACGTAATTCTTGATCATTTCCTATTTTCTCCTATATATTGAAAATGGAATTACTGTTAGTGTTATTAAAGATTAAGTTGAAATTACCATTAATTTGTTTGCAATGGAAGGCATTTTTGGGCAATGTGAAGTGGAATATGGGTGGATTTGAAAAAAAATTATGCAACTTTTTTACTGTTATTATTTCTTTCTTCTCTTTGTGTCTCAAATACTAGCTTTTGGATGCTGTGATAGGGTTTGTTTCATCAATATATCCTTTATGCAATTCGGTGATGCCAGTGCTTAATTTTTTTTGCTTTGAATACAGGGCCAAAAGAGTTTGCAGAGGTATGGAGTTGCCTTGGTCAATGGCGGGTGAGTAGTGTTTTCTCAGTTAAAAGATGAAAAAAGCTTATTCTTTAAATGCTTAAGCATTCAACTTTTTTCTTTGTTAAAATTCTTATCCCGGTTTATAAACGACAAAAACAAGATACCTATAGAATCAGAGGCAGTGTTTTGTGATATGCTAAGATTACGTGTAACTTTGGAGGGGGGTTTATATTTATTTAGCCATCACGTTAAATCAAATTTTGTGCTGAAAGGTTTGAAGAGAGAGCTGATTTGTAAATATCAGCTCTGGATGAAAATTCTAAACTTGTAAGTATTTAATCATTGTCTTACAATTTATCTGTCTATTCTCGTGACTAGAAATAATAAGGTTGTGAGAGGCATCTTAGATGCTTGTATAAAAGAATTGTTGTTACTTAGTTTTTCTTAGAACTGAAATAGAAGTATATGCAAAACAGCTATATTAAAATCAGCCGAGGTATTCTAATTGCAGGGTGCGCGTTTAAATATCATCTAATGGTAAATGTAAACCTAGGATGTTATTTGAGGGAGAGACCCGGGGGGTTGAGAATTTGTTGGGGGCATCAATTAAGAATATTATAACAAGGACATGCACAAAAAGGTAGAGGTGTTACCATTTGACGAAAAATTAAGAAAATAACTAGTTGTTTTGTGGCGCCTCTGGCATAGTCTAAAGATTGAAGAAGCGCCTTTTCAAAAGAGTGATGTGATTCAGTGGAGTAGTTCTAGGAGGACGATGTATACCAAAAGCAACGAGGTCTGGGGTGGTCGCAGAAGATGTCCCCTTTTAGACCAATAGTAGTTTCGGATCCAACAAGTTGAGAAAAAAGTATTGATGTAGATGACCTTCTTTATTTCGAGTATGACTTAACTTCTTGTCATGTAAACTCTCAATTCTTTCTAAAGCAGATAGAAGAATCAAGAAAGATTTGAGGTTAGCAAAATTGGCTCTTTGAGGTTAGAGTGAATAGTTTACTGATTCATGATAGGTAAACAAGCAAGTCGAAATAAAATGAATCATGCCCTTTTTCCCTAATCATTTTGGCGGCTGACTATGCATTCCAGACATAATCTCAAAATCTTTTGAGCCAAAGAAGGATGTGGGGAGACTATATTTTATTGGAATGACTCTTGATATCTGATTTGAGTTGAATTGCATTCTGCTCTTCTTTTTTTCTTTTCGGTTGCAAATATAATGCCCAGCTTGGGATTTGTCCCCTTTTTTTTTTACGGCATTTTGTGAATTCATATTATGTATCTATGATGCATCGATACGGACACGTATCATGTCGGATACATCGACACACGATTTTTCAAAAGAGATTGAGAAGACACGTTGATTATATTCTTTAAAAAATTTCATTTATATATTATAAATTTAGTTTTGTACTTGTTATTAATTATTTTGTTGAATTCTCTTAAATATGAGTACCTATTTGCCATTTAATAATAATTTTGAATTAAAAATATATAATATTTCTTATATAGAAAGAAAAATGATCGTCGTAATGTATCCAAGGAGTATCGGTATCCGAGACGTGTTTGACATGGACATACCTCCATTGTTGAAGTGTCTGTGAAACGGAGTTATGTATTATGTGGTGCAAATTTCCTACAATATATGAAGGAACTTGAGGGACCATTTTATATTGATATATAGACTGAGAAGCGTGATATCTTCTTTGCGAGCTTGTCAATTACAGTGAAAAATTGTAGATGCTCTCACATTGGGGGTGAACCACTATAAATTTGTGTATTTGCTTTGCGTTTTTGTTTTTTTAATTTGCATGCTTATCATTGCTTTTGGAATTAGAGATTAGGACCTAATCCACCAAAACAATATCTTTTGCACTAACCATTTCCCATGTACTTGTAGGCTGTGTTTGAACGATTTGATAGAGATCGGAGTGGGAAAATTGATACTATTGAATTGAAGGACGCTCTATACAGTCTTGGGTATGCATTGCCACCTTCTGTTCTCCAAGTTTTGATTTCCAGATACAACAATGGAAATTCCCAGAGGGTTGAGCTGAGTTTTGACAGTTTCGTCGAGTAAGGCTTCCTTTTTCTAATTATAATCACATATAATGGCTCTTGGACTCTTACCCTGGCTATATTCTTAAGGTGATTTTGTTCTTGGATGCAGATGTGGGATGATTGTGAAGGTAAGTAACAATGCCAGTGCGTTGAATTCTTTATCAATTTCTGATTGCCATATGGCAATATGTGCGGTTAAAATCATTTTTAGTCACCCTATAATGTTGTTCTGCTTTGGTCACCGAACATTTTTCAAATTAATTGTTTACTTTCATTTTTGTTTTAGGCACTCTATCGACTTCTATTTGTTGAAATAAAGAAAATACTTATACGACTAATTGAAAATATGATGTAACATGGGAAATCTATTAGCGTACTGTTTTTATCTAAGCAAAACTGTGTCTTGTTGGTGTGGTTAATGGAATTTTTTTTTCCCCCTTGAAAAAGAACTCTGTCCGACAAGACTCTTTTTTGTTTTGCTGGAAGATAAATACTGTGCATTGACTGGTTTTCAATGTGACATCATATTTTCCATTAGCCACATTAACATGTCTCCTAATTCGGAAAATGGGTTCCTAAATTAAAATGCTACCAGTGGCGTGACTAAGAATGCTTTTAATCCCTATATGTGTATGACTTCCTTGTCATTCAATTCTCTATTTATTCCTCCACATAATTTCAATTTCAGGGTTTGACGGAAAAGTTCAAAGAGAAGGATCCACGTTATACAGGTTCAGCGACGCTAAGTTATGACACATTCATGACCATGATCATTCCCTTTCTTGCTTCGGAATAGACATTTCATGATATGCTTCATTGAGTTGAATTTGTTTATACTGATGCGAGGAAAAAGTCTGTACACAGGGCACTGTTCATTCACCCGAGAAAAAGAACAATTTTTTACGTCAAGAATGTGAGGATTGTGAAAAAATGATGAAAAAGATAGATAAAAAGTCATTAGTCTTCTGCCTTCACATGCATTGTGAATTTTTTCACCTGTCAAAAGCCATTTTCTTCAAGGTTAGCGTATGCTGGTGCTCCAGATTGATATTCTCAGTTGTTCAGTGATGATTCTTCTTTGATTCTCAAAAATGTGGCTGTCTGATTACTCTATTTTTATTTTTTTTCCTGTCATATGGGCGTTTAAGGTTTGTATTTTCTGACAAGCATTTCCACGTAGCTTGAGTCATTGGCATATTTACTACGCATCGCCAATTTCATGTGTAAACATGCACGAAAGAACGAGGCGAAGGCAACTTTGCCTGCTTACTGGTGAAGAACTCGTCTGGATGGATAAATGTTTTTATTGATAAACCAACTAACAGGAGGGGAAAAAAAACACTTTTTAAGTTTCAATTTAGTTATTAAAATACTTATTATCATATATGGTTGAAGTACGAGGGTAAGAGACTACCGACCGGCTCAAACTGAAGACATGGATTCTTGTCGAAAGACTAAGCTTTGAATGGCAACAACTTTAATGGTTAGTAACACTTTCGGCTTTTTGATTTTCTTCAATAACAAATTACCCATACTACAAAATGTTTTTAATTATGCAATGCCTCTCGTTGCCATGTCATCGAACCATGAGTCCATTTTTAAAAATTATATGGCTCCTCACGACGATGCGTACGTGCGAAGTGTGCCTTTAAAGCGTCCAATGCGAACTTTGTGACATGCGCAGGTTGAGGTTGGGATCGGGGCGCGGTGCGAGAGGTGCTCTAGTGGTGGCTAGTTTGTTAGCCTTTGGCTAGTCAAAGTAAATTAAGTTGTAAGTCACTTATTAAATTATAACTTGTACACACATCCTACAATATAAACAATTTTTTTCTTGTAAACTTTTGATATGAGATTCTTTACCATATATAGGGTGTGTTTGACACCTATTTTTTGAAGATAAAAATTTTCAGAATAGTGATTGATGGAATAATGTGTGGTGGAAAAGTTATGAAAAGTTTTAGATTTGTGTGTAATATTATTTTATTTGAAAAATGTATGGTTGAAATAAAATAAGAAAAAAATGAGAATGAAATAGAGAATGTGTGCCAAACATGGATATAAGACACTGAAAATTGGGCTTATCAATTTATAGGCCTATATTAGAGACTTTTTCAATTCACCCAAATTAATTACGATGACCCACATAATTAAATATCATATTTAATTATT